AAAAGCAACCGCCCTCCTCCACCCCCCCCTCCAAATGACCCACATCAGACATCTCCAAAGCCTCCTTAAAAATTTATGGAAAATCTCACAATGCCTTAGAATGTACAGCTGCCACTTATTTTGCGACCCATTCCTAATAAACTATATATACAAACTATCAACAGCATTGTGTATACATTTAATAAGGGAAATTCTTGGTTATCAAAAGATTGCAGGAAGAAAATCATGCATGAAGCAAAATATGCAAGATTATCAATAGCTGACAAGATGTTTACGGGGTATTTATCACCCCTTGCTATGATTACAGGGCAACCATATTACCACTCCACAGAGTTGTTAGATACTGTCGTTTCTCTGCTACACATGGTATAAATAAATGTCAAATGTTATAGGAGCAGTTCACAAGAGTATCCTTCATGACAGACATGGATAAAACACTAAGAAAACATTATGTACAGCTAAAACAAGCATAATAGTCACATCAGATGTAAAAGTTGCTGAAGTGCAACATTTATTATATGCAGAGCTGGTACCATGACCTATTGTTAAGGTTGCCCAATACTTCCTATTATTAGCTCCTGTTTTCAGTTGCTTACAGTTTTGCCAAACATTAACTCTTCAGGTTGAAATTTCCATGCCAGGTGTCTGCCTTAGGCTGATTTTATTTTAAAAGTTTCAGCAAAAATGGTTCAGTCATCTCTGAGAATGAAATTAGGAGAAAGATATTTTGCTCATGTTAAAAAAAAACATCTTCCTTTTCACTGAAGCTCTAGCATCTCCATGCTTTGGAGCAGGGTCTTGAAATCTGGCAGGCAGAGAAGGTGTTGCACTGGTCTCAGGAAGGTGCTTTTTGTTGTCCCCATGAAAAAATACAAATTTGGCAGAGCTGAAAATCTTTGAAAAATCACAGTTGACAAATGCTTAGCAAACTTGTAAAAGTTCTGCAGCTACATTCTTCTAAGATTCTAACTGCACTGAGCATGCTCCAGCCTAGGACCACAGGGGCTGAGCAAGATTTTCTCTACAATTGCTGCTACCAGATGCTGCAGGCTGCTGACGGGCTGGGGCACAGGAACTGACAGCAGGGAGAATGTCTATCGTGTGCTCTTCCAACAGTCCCCCAAGTTTGTTTACATTTACAGGAGATACTGCTGCCCTCTTCTTATTTACAATGTCACCAGAAAGTGAGAAAAGGCATTTGCATGGCACTTCTGTAGCCAGTATTGCTGTTTTACCCGCATTCTGCCATATATTTCATGTTATAGCAGTCTCGGATGATGACCCAGCACATGTTGTTTGTTTTAAGAACACTTTCACTGCAGATTTGGCAAAACGCAAAGAAGGTACCAACGTGATATTTCAAAAGATAGATACAGCACTCGACCCAAGGTTTAAGACTCCCAAGTGCCTTCCAAAATCTGAGAGGGATGAGGTGTGGAGCATGCTTTCAGAAGTCTTAAAAGAGCAACACTCCAATGTGGAAATTACAGAACCTGAACCACCAAAAAAGAAAATCAACCTTCTGCTGGTGGCATCTGACTCAGATAATGAAAATGAACATGTGTCGGTCCGCACTGCTTTGGAATCTTATCGAGCAGAACCCGTCATCAGCATGGACGCATGTCTTCTGGAATGGTAGTTGAAGCATGAAGGGACATATGAATCTTTAGTGCATCTTGCACGTAAATATCTTACGATTCCGGCTACAACAGTGCCATGAGAACGCCTGTGCTCACTGTCAGGTGACACTGTAAACAAGAACCAAGCAGCATTCTCTCTTGCAAATGTAAACAAACTTGTTTGTCTGAGCGATTGGCTTAACAAGAAGTAGGACTGAGTGAACTTGTAAATTCTAAAATTTTACATTGTTTTATTTTTGAATGCAGTTTTTTTTTGTACATAATTCTACATTTGTAAGTTCAACTTTCACGATCAAGTGTTTGCACTACCGTACTTGTATTAGGTGAATTGAAAAAAATACTACTTCTGTTGTTTTTTTACAGTGCAAATACTTGTATACCGTACACTTTGTATTCTGTGTTGTAATTGAAATCAATAGATTTGAAAATGTAGAAACCATCCAAAAATATTTAAATAAATGGGATTCTATTATTTAACAGTGTGATTAATCGCGAATAATTTTTTAATTGCTCGTCATCCCTAGAACACACACATTAATACGGGGAAGGCTAGTCTAACTTGATCTACTAACTCATGTGAACATTACAATCCGCATGGTCTTAACCAGGATTTTATCTTGAATTAGTTAATTCAAGGTAATTTGATTTTAAAAACACATCTTTTTTCCTTAGAAAGGGTGAATTAGAAGAAGGTCTGTGTTTGGGTAGGTGGCTCATAAATTAGCACTGAAATCAATAGGGACTCAAAGGGGTACAAGGGTCTGCGGGTGAGGATCCGACTGCAAGACTAATGCTGCCTTTAATACAGATTTTGTTGGTGGTGATTGTATTTCAACATTGATTTTGGGGTGGGGATAGGAGGGGAATCCCTAGGCACTGGGGATAGGGAAATGATGCTAGAACTCACTATTCACAATGGTCTTTGATCATGGTTATTGATGGGGTAGTAACATAAGAATCCCTCAATGCAGGATGGCAAGGGGGTTATAAGAATACCCCTGATTTTGGTATGTACATTCTAGTTTGCCAAAGGATGTCACAGGAGGTCTTAAATGAAAGCCAGGGTCACACTGGTTATTAATATTGTTGGTGAAAAGTACATACAGATACTTTGTAAGGAGTTATGTATGTATACTGAAAATATGTTCTCAGAGTCTGTATCACAGCCTAGGTGGAGAAACAGGTTTCCTGTCAGACAAAAATGCTTATTCACCCGTCTCTCTGTTGGGATGTAAATTAAGCACTGCAAGCTAACACAATGGAGACACATTTACATGCAAAATCAACAACAAGATATGAAGTCAACAAGGGTGAGACAGAGTGGGGGAATCGCTGGTAAAAACTTATCCTTGATTTCACTATAAGCATATCTCAATGGTGTGATAATAAGCAAGTTGCTGATCCTGAATTGAATCATACAATCTGATATGTATATTGTCCCTTGAGGACAGCAGACCTGGTATTTCTGTGAGTGTGCAGTGGAGAAGGGGCTGGAGCCTGGATATTACAGAGGAATGCTTCAAAGGGACTCAAGTGCACTATTTGTTAACCTGCAAGGCAAAGTCAGGGCTGGCATTGCCCAAAGGAGAGTGACTGGTGGTGTCAGGGAGCCGACACTCAGTTAAGCACAAACAAGTTTCCCTCTTGCTGGAGGGCACGGGGTGGCAAGGTGACTCAGAGTCCTGGGTACCCCGAAAACCGTCACAGGGTGTTTCAGCCATAGCATGGAATGGACCGGAACAGACTAGTGCCACATAAAAGGCAGAAATCAGTACTGTTTAGAAGGGTGAATAAAGAAATACATAATGAAAAATAACTGAAAAATAAAAGTGTGGCTCTCATGACTAAATGCCCATGAATCAAATAAAACTATTTGGACATTTATCATTTTCTTTTAAAATAACACAGCAAAACAACAGCTCTTTACATGATACTATTTCGGAACAGATACACACAGTGCTAATAGAGTGATACAAACAAGACAGCAGAATCAAAGCTACTTCATGACTGATGTACCTCAAAGGTAGTCTGGATACCAATTTAGTACCCAAATTCATGGAAGCATTTTTCTTGGTTCTGGATGATCTCTGGTTTCTGTTACTGAACGTCACCAAAACACACATACATTCTTTATACAGCTGCATGAAAGAAAAACCTTTGCAAGAGAAGCCTATTCATCTCACAAAAGGCAAACTACCGTGAAATACACAGCATGACAAACTATTTTAATATAACAACATTCCTTGGATGAAATGAAAAACATGTTGTATCAAATTCCTTCTGTAAGCAATAATCCATTAAAAAAACTCAAAACAAAAAAATTGACGATGTTTTGAATTCTCATGGGCTGAAGTTCTTATAAACTGAGGAGTTGATTTCAATATGTTGAGCGGACAGGGAGTTATGTGTATCACGCACTGTCTAAATATTTTTAGAGTTGAGTTTTTCAACAATAAAAATCTATTTACAAAAAGCTGGAAAGCTACTTGCATTTGGCACAGAATTTTCTAGGATGACACAAACTAAGTTTCTAACACTCCATTATTTATTTTTCTCAACATAAATGTCTGTAATAGAGCCGAATGAATAATCCACAACTAATAATTTATTTCAAAGAATTTTGTGGCTATTCCAATTTTCCCCAAATATATTAACTATTCAAAACTTTTTTTATGAATATTGTTCACTTGTTGGCTTGTTGTGATTGGTCAGAAGTCACCCTGTATTGTTTCTGGCTGGAGAAGCATAATCCTTGTCCGATTTCTGGTAAAAATACTGACCTGAAGAAAATTTTAAATTCTCTTTCCAAAAGCAACAAAGCTCAATTTCTTCTCTACAAGCATTACATCAATAAAGGGTCAGACTGCAGGCACAAGCCTGGTCACGCAAGGCACCCATGTTCCAGGTCTCCCATGTTCCAGAATTTGGAATCACAGACAGCAGCGCAGGGGAGAGCAACCTCTGTGAGGCTGCTACTTCCTCTCCACTATTCCACACCCAAGGAGGAAGGATTTAGCAAGAGCCTTGGTTCCACGCACTTAACAAGCCCATAGCATAACTACCTGACATATGCATCAGGTAGAAACCTAGTGCTGGGTACTTCCTTCCTATCACATGAAGATGGAAATGGAAGGCAGACTGTGACTGGGACAATTCACTGCTCCTTGCTTGGAACTCATGTCAAAGCCATAAGGGAGACCAAAAGGTTCATGGAAAGCAAATACAAGGGAGGAACTAACACAGCATATACATTTGCTTTGAGTCCTAAAAAGTTAAGTGCAGGAAGAATGGCAGGAGTAATATGGAGTCTTAAAACAAGGACTAACAAGATGTCTAAAAAGGTTCACAAGTTGAACTCACCTCTAAAGTCTGCATTAGTGTTGGCTTAATTGCATCCTTCATCAAAACTGCCAAAGCACCTGTTACTCCCTAAAAAACAAGAGAGTGCACATTATAAGTATCCCTATTTTACACCCATTCAAACAGTTTAAGTTTAATGAGTTGGAAATATGAAACTTTAGTTCTAAAGAGAAAATTCGTTCACAAAAAAAGGGAAATGTTTTTCACTATACACATTGTAATACTATGCCATCACCATTATAAGAGAAATCTATTTAGATTTAGTTACTTCATGCCTTTATTAGCATAGTATCAGAATGCCTCACAAACATCAATGGATTTACCCTCATAACATCTGTGAGAGATATGGTAGAGTAATATTTTTTCCATTTCACAGAGAGAGAACTGAGACTAGGGTGACCAGATGTCCTGATTTTATAGGGACCCGATATTTGGGGCTTTTTCTTATATAGGTGCCTATTACCCCCCCCACCCCATCCCGATTTTTCACACTTGCTCTCTGGTCACCCTAACTGAGACAGAGAGAGAAACAGCAATTAGCCCAAGGTCACTCACAGGAGAGGAAAGAGAACCAAGTGTGGGCTCATCAAGAACACTAAGAAAGCAAAGGGCAACAAGCTTGCCAATACTGCACAAAGAAATGAAAGATGTACTTCGCTCATGAGAGAATGGACATCAATAGCATGGGTTTCTAGGTACAAAGGTGGAGAAATGAACTGGCAGTCTCTGCAAAACCTATATAATCATATGGTTGAGAAAAGGATGTAAACAGATACCATGAGATTGCCTCTCATTTTTAATCCCTACAAACTAACTGTACAGAACTCCTCAAACAGCTCTGCCAATGAATCTACATTTGAACCAACAGGCCCAACAATGTAAACCCTGAAAATAATATATTATGAGGTGATTTTGCAATAATTACTATTACTACTAATTTGCATCAAATTAATTTTTCACTTGCAACACATCAGATTTGAACCGAGGTCTCCAGAAGAGAAAGGAATAATGTATGATACTTAGCCTCTGGTAAATATGAATTAAGGAAACTGAGGCCACACGTTAGGATTTCTTTGTTAAATATTGCCATGTTGTAAGTCTCTCTGTTACAAAAGTCTAAATATCCACAGTCATCACAAAATGAACTACAGTGAAATGGGATGAGACAATGTTAATGAGATAATATATTTGTCCCTTGTCTATGGATTAATACTGAATAGATTTTCAATTGCACATTCGTTTCTTAAAAAAAAAAAGTCTTGTTTACATTTTGGGGATCAGAAACAAAGAACCACAAAATTCCGATGTTTACCAAAATAGATATGGGTCTATCATTTCTCGCATAAAGAGAGAAGGTGCTATTCCATCTCTGACTAACAATCTAATGATAAGCACAGAGACATATGAAATAGAAATAGACATATTAAAAAAAAAAATCAGATTGCCACCACGTCTCACTGTTCCTTTCTGTACAGCCACAAACACACCAAAATAACATATTGTAGCTAAGAACAGGTCATTTATTTTAGACAAAGAGAAAAAATAGAGATGAAATGCCATTGAAAAGTCAGCATCGAGTTAAGTACTCTATCAACTAGTGTACCATATGCTATATTCTGAAAGTTTTTCCTCTTTATTGCCCCCAAGCTACTCAGTAAAAATGACTGATGATGCTGTTGCTTTTGATTCCCTATATCCTGGTTATTTAAAAAAATTTTTTTTATAAAGTGTAGATTTTTTTTTTAAAGGATATTAAATTTTTCACCTGTTCAACATGACTTTACTTGCTGTATAAGGAAGCCATTTGACTCATTTCCAAAACCTGAAGCATTTACCAAACAAAACTTGAAGCACTGAATTCCCCACCCCAATACCTAACAATTTAAAATTAAATTAACATTTCTCATTTTTAGCAATTTCTCCACTAAATCTCAGGTTTACTGACTTGTGCAATTAGAAATCAAATACAGAACATGTCAAACATTGTTCTTCCTAGTTTAACAAGCATACATTTTAAAGTAATGACTTTAAAATCGTGTTTTCATTTTAAGGTAGTGAACATAAAAGCTTGTTGTTTTGCCTACGCTGCACACTATGGTCACTCAGAGCACTACAGTGGCCGGTGGGGGTAGAATTCTGATTCTCCCGTTCCAAAAGCACAGTCCCCTACATTTGAACTAACATTAGTTGTTAGCAGCATAGGGACTATAACACACAGCTGAGCATTTCAGATTCCACCTAGTGAAAAGCAGTGCAATATATACATGCTAGGCAGTACATTCCAATAGTAAAAACACTGCCAAAAAATGAAGGTAAGGACTTTAACACAAAGGCAAAATTTTGTTCCTATGATGCAATTCTTTATGCCATCACACATTGTTTGCCACTTTCATAGGTAATGGAACCACATTGATTTAACCTGAATCATTACCCTAGGCCAAAAGAAAGAAACAAACACTGATATTTTCAGAGCACCAATGGCAAAATATTTATATTGAAATGCTTTGGAGAACTAACCAAGAAGCACCCCTCCCCACATTCCCACTGGCAATACGTTTCAAGGTAGTTCAAAGCCTAGAGTTTGTTTGACTCTTGACTGAGTTTAGATGACTTAACAGTACTACTGAATTAAAAAAAAAAACCAAACCAGTTTACACCTCCCAATTTGTTGGGAAATTTCATCTCTTCCTCCCAGACAAGAACCTGGCCACATGCATTTGTCAATCCTGGACTCGATTTCTGTGTCTGAAGCTGAATGTGATGATAATGTAAAGCCTCTAGCTGGTACATAATGTGTCTGCCCACCTTCTCCATGGATTAGACCCCCATGAGTACCTCAGATCTGAACTGTTATTTCTCCACCAGCTCCCAGTCCACTTCCAAAGCCAATTGGAAGTCTTGGGCCTAATCTTCAAAGTCATTCATGGATCAGGTTCCAGCTACATTAGAGGCCATGGGGAAAATTTTACAAAAGCACTTAAGTGACTTAGAATCTTAAGTCCCAGTTTCAAGAACGACTTAGACACCTAGGAGTTTAAGTCTTCAAGTGCCTATGTCTCTTTTGAAAATAGGAATTAGGTGCTTTTGAAAAATTTACCCCACATCTCCATTTGTGAGACACTGAGGCAGTTGTGCTTCTCTGAGACAATACCTACTACAAAGTGCATGAGAGCTTTATCCAAAGCACCCTCAGTTGAGAAGTTCTGGCTTTAGAGAGGAGGTTGGACTGCATGCCCACTAGAAAACGAGAAAGCTGATTTACATATTTTAAAGACATTTCAAGAACATTGACCATAGGGCAGAGGAGAACAACAGAGGGTTCCCTAGTAGGAAATTGGGTAACTGACTTTTCTTTGTTCCAGTCATAACAAAACCAATTGTGGGATATATTTTTCTGAAGTTTTAGTAGGGTAAACTGTTTATTAAATACAAAAAAGTTGACTGTGAATAGTTGTATCTGAGTAGTCCCACTGACTTCAACAAGACCTGTTTGTGCTTAAAGTTAAGCACATATGTGTTTGACGGCTGGAGTCTAAGTTTGCAGAAAAAATATTTGGGCTATAAAGTACTTATAAAATAAAAATGATACTGTAAAATCTAATAGATTTTAATAACTGTTAAAAAAAAACCCTTGCATAATAACCTGAGAAGCTTCTTTTACTAAACAAATAGCTACATATTTATTTAATATTATTCATGGCTGCTGAAATACTAAACTAGAGCCTACCTATGTAATTTGACATGGAGATATGGCACCTGTCCATCAAATTTCTACTACAGTATAGCAGCCAAAAAGCAATTCAGCCTTCTGAATATTGTACAATTAACCTCACATTTTGGCAAATAATTCTTTATGTTCCATTACACATAGATATTTAATTCATTACATTTGTGGAAGCCGTCTCCTCAATTCACGAAATATTTAATTTCTCTCTACTTCTCCTCCTGCTCCCCACCCCCTCTGCATCTGGTTTCAATCTGCCAATGTATATTTTAGGTTTTATTATTGTATTATCATAAATATGTGACATAGAAGGATGAAATTAAGAGCAATTGCATTTTTGTACAGTGTATTAAACATTATTCACATCCAGAAACAAATGAAAGAGACAGAGGATTAATGGTTTAGATTAACGTAAATTAAATAATGAACTAGAAACTATTTGTCAAAATATCATTTTAATGTATAAAAATAAATTTTGGGCAACAGACATTCGTGGAATTTGGTTTATCTATACAAATTCTCGGCGTGGCTGGTAGTGTTGCCTATTATTAAGGTTGCCCATTATAAAAACCCTGCTTTCAGTTGTTTATAGCTTTTGGAAAACTTTACCTGTACAGGCAGAAATTTTCCATGCTGGATGTCTGCCTCAGGCTGAAATTTATTTTATTTTATTTAATTAGCAAAATTTAAGCCAGAACAGTTCAGCCATTTTTGAGAATGAACCTATTGAAAAATATGATATTTTACTCATGTTAAAAAATGTGGGTGACCTTCTCTTTGAAAAACTCTAACATCCCAAGGCTTTGGGGCAGGCACTTGAAATCTGGCAAGGGGATTGACCTGTGTGTCAGGGATGTGCCTTTTGCTGTCTCTGTGAAAAACTGTTCACATCTGGCCAAGTTACAAGCTTTGAAAAAAATACATTTTAAACATGATCTGCAGAGACTTAGAGTTTTAGCAGATAAATGCTAAACTGAGCAATGGGGGGAAGGGGTGGAGAGGAGCAAGCAGGGAACGGGGCCTTGGGGGAAGGGGCGGCGCGGGAGCAGTGCCTCGGGGGGAAGGGCCACGGTTCGGGTGCTGGTGGGCCCTCTACTTTTAGGAAGCTTCCATTGCTCCTGAGGCCAGGATGTACTGTCTGCTCATGAAAAACCTGCTGACTGCTATTATCCACTCAGGATCCCACAGGCCAAGAAGAGAAAAGAGGGAGGATTTGTACAGATAAAGAGATATTAGGTTGAATGCTGGCTGCTGACGACACATTCTGGCTATTTATGGGATTAGAATTTGGTGCCAAGAAAAATGTGTATATGCTTCTTTCACAGCTGAAAGTGGGAAGGGGCGATTTAGCAGATAACCTGAACTGCTGGATGGATACTTGAATAAGAATAACCAATGTGTGTCCTTAAAAAATAGATCTTACTGATGTGTAAAGTTAACGCTTCACAAGCATTATCACTAACCTAAATTAATATATATATATATTTTTTAAGATTACTGCTGCAAGCATTCATCAGGCAGCCCCACTGTAATATTTGAGAATACTATATAAGAACAATAGCAAACATTACCACCTGAAAAGGAGCTCCTTGATTTTCTGTAGCACCTGATTAGCTTGCCTCTAAGGCAAGCTAACTTATGTGACAAGTGGTTTCAGAAGCAGAAGTTACCAGAAGGCTTGGACAAAGGTAAGTTTTACATCCTGTTCCAACTGTGGCCAGATTTGGGATCAAAGCCCCACATGCATTGTTAAAAACAAAACTAAAAGACAGTATATAGTTGCCATTTTGCTGATTCAGCAGCAAAGCAAAAGAGTCAGGAGTTAGTCACAGGGCTTTTATACTGTACATACCAAATCCTCAGCTGTCACTGGCTGTCCATTTTTGTCATTAGCCACCACCATTTTCCCCAGTCTCTCTTTCATATCTGCCAGGCTGGTGGTCAGTGCTAAGATTGCCATGATTTCACTTGCAACGGCAATGTCAAACTGAGCCTACAAAGATAAAAGCAAGAGTAGTAAACCACATCAAACACAGGCAAGAGGATACTTTCAGAGCAAAATGAAAAGAAATACAATATGATTATTACCTTGAGAGTGAAATTTAAAAAGTTCTTAACACTTATTAACAACACCTAAGATTATTTAAACTGAAATAACTAACAGTGAAATGGAAATTAGATGTTTAAAATGATAAGATTTTGGAGGGTTTTTTGTTTTGATTTTGGCATTTCACTCATTTGGGGACTCAGCACCTTGCTGGACTGAACCCCTCAATTGATATTTCCTTTAATGGGAGTTCAAGTTGCTGAACCACTGACAGAGCAGGCCCTTGTGTAGTCAGTGAAACAACACTGGTCAGTTTCACTTTCCACATCACATGCACTAGCACAAGTGCCTTTATATTTGGGTTTATAATATTGGTCAGGAATTTGTATATTTAGAAAATCCTCTGTATTTCATGAAAATATATTCATATTACATTTTGTAATTTTTAGTTTACAAAACTCTAAATTTGGGGGGGTTAAACTACTTGACAATGTTCCTTTAAAATAGTATTTTCTTGGATTTAGCATACAAAACTTGTGCTTTTTTCTCCTCCTGGATTAACTTTGTGCAACACCAGTCCTATTGCTCTTGTAGAAATAGATCTATAAACTGCAATACTTCTTTAGAAGGATTCAAACTAAGCCCCTGACAAGTGAAATATCTCACTGACGATACTTAGACCAGGGGTTCTCACAACAAATTTTTTGGTGGCCTCAGAATTTTTCCTAAAATATTTGATTAACTTTAGGAAAAACCAATACATGTGCATATCCAAATCATTGTAATTTATTTATGCAGGATTTTTTTTTCAGACAATAATAAAAATAATGTACAGTTGTCTCTATTCTTTACTGGACCTAAACAGAAAGAATGTGCAAAGCACCTTATTTGTGTTTCTAGTCTTTTTTCCTTGTTGTTTCTTTTGCTTTTTGGTTGCTTTTATAAAGACTTGCTAGCTACTAAGAAAAGTGATATTAAGAAACATACAAATATTACTTTTCATAGCAGCCCCGGCAAGCCTGGGGATAAATTAAGCCTTGGATGGAGAAGTGGGTACGGAGCCAGTGGCAATGGGGCACTGGGGGAGGCAGCGAGGGCCTGGGGTGATCAGGGTTGGCTCTAGCGTTTTTGCGGCCCAAGCAGCGGAAAAAAAAAAAACAACAACAACCCGATCGCAATTGGCGGCAATTCGGCGGCAGCTCTAGCACCACTTCATTCTACGGTGGCAACTCGGCGGGGGATCCTTCGCTTCGAGAGGGAGGCCCCACCGCCGAATTGCCGGACGTGCCGCCCCCCTCTTCATTGGCCACCCCAGGCACTTGCTTGCTACGCTGGTGCCTGTAGCCGGCCCTGAGGGTGAGCTCGGGGCCAGAGCCCACCACCATGCGGCCGGGGAATGGAGCCTGAAGCCTGCCACCCACTACCCCAGGGCTGAAGCTCGACCTCTCCTCTTCCCCTCCCGTCCCCGCAGGAAGGTGAGGAACTCACTGGCTGCCTACTCTTCCAGCTTTTGTCTCTCCAGAGGGGGACAAGGCCCAATTACTACTGGCAGCAGCAGAGGCGGGGCCGTTGCTTTGTGCCACCCCTCCCCCATCACTCCCCTCCCCCATCACAGGCACTTCGTAAATACTTAAGGCCCCAGTTCTGCAAAGACTTCAGGATCAGGCCCCACGACACGCCCCTATTTCATGTACCTCATGCTGGGTACTAACATGAGAGGACTCTAGATTTATTAAATTATATTGGCTCTTTATTAAAGCAACCGTATACAGAGCTGCTCCAGCCGCAACTTAATATTTTATGCATCTGCACAAGCCACAAGGAATGACTGCCTGGTGTTTCTCCAAACTCTTCTCTCCTGAAATTCATACTCCTCCCTTCAGCTTTCATGCATACGTACACAAGTGAATAAAGACTATTTGTACATGAGTAAAGATTTACAGGATTTGGATCCAAAATGAAAACAGTAAACTTATAAAACAGATATTTTCAAACTTGAATTGGGGCTAGCTCTTTATTAACAGAGAAGAAAGCTGTGCATCCAACTAAACAGCTGGGGGCACACAGTTAGACCTTCCCAGCTATGTTAGAACAGTGTTATGGCCGCACCTTCCTTGAACGAACGAAAATCAGAAAATCCCGAGTTAAGGATGAGACTCCTCTTCTAATTTATCCTTGCAGCACTGAGAGATGGTGAATGAATCTTAGAGCACAGAGAGATTTCACACACCATCTAAACTGCAACACCATCTAAGTTTATCAGGATGGTTTTAAGAACAGAGTTTATGCTTTTATTATGAATTCCAGAGTTTTCATCACCATCATTAAAATTAGAATGCCTATTTCCCTTTTGTATATTAGGGTTTTTGCTTTTTTTATATAAATTAAAAAAAAAAAGGGGGAAAGAACCCACTTCCGGGAAATGTTTGAGGAATGATATAACAACCCTAACTATTACAGTAACACATACTATTTTATACTATCAGTCAATGTTACTTTCTGTGACACAGTCAGGGTCCAGACACCCCAAAGAATAAGCAATTGAATCAACTGATTGTGAGACCAAAAACAATGGAAGCTCTATGTACATATGAATCAGCAGAAGGATGAGAAGTCCACAGGAAGAGAAGAACAACAGGAAGCCTTCCTAGCTCTTGAAACAAAGACAATGAACTTTGGGGATAATATAAGGGGGGCCAAAAAGTCATTTGAGTTCTCCATCACTTGAATGACTGAAGAGGCCAGAGCTCTTGAAATCACAGAACAGTGGGTCTTTCAACCAAGGATGTTGAAGTCTATGGAAAATGAATATAGGTGAGAAACCTGCTTAAACCATGAATATAACTTGCTGAAGTTAAATTTAATCAATAGAAAGTGTGTTTTGTTTGTTTTGTCTGTAACCCTTCATACCTTTCACTATTACTAGAAATCACTTCACCCTATGTTCTTTGTTAATAAACTTTGTGACACTGCATCCCATATTCTTCATAGAGATATTATGATGATATGATTATGGCATAAAGAACGGTTACCTACCTCTCGTAACTGTTGTTCTTCGAGATGTGTTGTTCACGTCCATTCCACATTAGGTGTGTGCGCGCGTGCCGTGTATACGGACGTAGGAAACTTTTCCCCTTAGCGGCTCCTGTCGGGCCGGCAGGGGAGACCCCGCCAGAGTGGCGCCTCCACGCTGGTGCATATATACCCCTGCCGACCCGACCCCCCTTCAGTTCCTTCTCGCCGGTGACTCCGACAGAGGGGAAGGAGGGTGGGAAGTGTAATGGACGTGAACACCACATCTCGAAGATCAACAGTTACGATAGGTAGGTAACCGTTTTTTCTTCTTCAAGTGATTGTTCACATCCATTACACATCAGATGACTCACAAGCTTACCATAGGAGGAGGGTAGGTGTCATGGAACAATTGACTGGAGAACAGCCCCACTGACCGCCGCATCATCTCTGGCCTGCTGACTGACTGTGCAGTGGGCTGTGAATGTGTGCACCGACGACGAGGTGGCTGCTTTACAGGTCTCGTGGATCAGGACCTGCGCCAGGAAAGCTATTGAAGATGCTTGGGCTCTAGTCAAGTGAGCCATGATCGGCAGGGCTGGCACCTTGGCGAGCTCGTAGCACGTGCGGATGCAGTCCGATGATACACACTGTGCCGAGACCGAAAGCCCTTTCATTCTCTCGGCGATGGCGACAAACAGCTGTGTCGACTTGCGGAAAGGTCTAGTTCGCTCTAGATAGAACACCAGGGCCCTTCGGACATCTAGAGTGTGCAGGCTACGGTGACTGGGGTCCGTGTGTGGTTTAGGAAAGAACACCGGCAAACAAATGTCCTGCCCCATATGAAATTGTGAGACTACCTTAGAGAGGAATTTAGGGTGTGGCCTGAGCTGCACTTTGTTCTTATAAAAAACTGTATATGGAGGCTCCAAGGTGAGGGCCCTCAATTCGGACACCCTCCTCGCGGACGTAATGGCCACCAGGAATGCCACCTTCCAGGAGAGGTGAAGGAGAGAGCAAGAGGCCAGGGGCTCGAAAGGGGGTCCCATAAGTTTGGCCAGGACCAGGTTAAGGTTCCAGGGAGGGACCGGTGGGCATAAGTAGGGAAACACCCTTTCCAGTCCCTTAAGGAATCGGGCTACCATGGGGTTAGAAAACACAGAATGCCCCGATACCCCCAGGTGGAACGCTGAAATGGCAGCTAGATGCACTCTGATTGAGGAAGGAGCGAGACCCTGATGTTTGAGGTACAGGAGGAATTCTAGGACGACTGGAATGGTGGCCACAAGTGGCTGTATCTGCTTTGGCTCACACCAGCAGGAGAATCTTTTCCACTTAGCTAAGTACGTCGCCCGAGTGGAAGGTTTCCTACTGCCAAGGAGAATTTGCTGTACCGGAAGGGAGCACTGGCTCTCCACAGCGTTCAACCACAGAGTTTCCACGCCATGAGATGCAGCGACTGTAGATCCGGGTGGAGCAGGCGCCCACAGTCCTGCGTGATGAGATCTCGGTGCCGGGACAGGGCAATTGGGGCGGCCACTGACAGCTCCAGCAGGGCCGTAAACCAGTGCTAGCGAGGTCAAGCTGGAGCGATCAGAATTATTACCGCTTTGTCCCTGCGAACTTTGATGAGGACTCTGTGGATGAGCAGGAGTGGAGGAAAGGCGTACTTCAGACTCCCGCTCCAAGGGATCGCGAAGGCATCTGCGACCGAGCCCGGACTGTGGTTCTGGAAGGAGCAAAACTGTGGACATTGGCTGTTGTCCTTGGTGGCAAAGAGGTCCATTTGGGGAAACCCCCACTTTTGGAAGATCGATTGCAAGACATCCGATCTCATCGACCACTCGTGCATGTGGTACGACCTGCTGAGGTGGTCCGCCAGTTCATTTCGCTATCCCATTTCGCTATCTACGAGATGGATGGAGCGGGCTATA